ATGCTGGTGATTTTACTTGCAAAATGGCCATAAAGAGTTTTAAAGAGCTTTACAACCTCTTGGTAGATTCTTGTGGAAAAGGCAATTCACCACTGGAAAGAATTTAGCTGGGCTTGATACAGATATAAGAGTGACAATTGTTCATCTATTTATTATTGCTGCAATATAACAAACAACTATCCTACATGCAATCCTCATTTATCAACCACAGTTGGAAACAGCAACTTGGTCATTAAGTGAAGTGGAGTGAAGCTAAGTTTTTAATGAGTACTAGTTTTAATGTTTGTAAGCTGCACTGCCCAGAGTTGTCTCTGATGAGATGGGTCGCACATAAATTCAACAAAGAAATAAATAATAAACAGTGCTTATGATTTTACTTCAACTTTGCTTTAAAGGAGCTACAAAGGTCATAAATGCAGGAACTGGTTGCAAAGTTATTTTTTCACCACCTTCATAACTACGAACAGTCGCTAAACAGGGACTACTTGTAATAATGTAATAACTATACAATATAAAAGCCTTTATACACAATAGTGATTAAGATAAAATAAACAAAAAACCACAAATTCCATATCATGGAAAGATAATTGAATATACATGTATATGTTGGTTACATTTCCCCCCACCCCCACCTTGTATTAACATATGCTAAAGCTTGAAACCAAATAGGATGTAAAATGCCAAATCATTAAAGAATCCTTACATTTGTTAAAATGTCAGCCCAAAAATATCCAATCAGTTCTGGATATTATCTGGAGTCCAATAAACAGGAAGCAGTGTTTTCTGATTAATTCAATTCTTAAATCAGTATATTTTAACTTTTTAAGACTGGATGGTAACTGAGAACTAAAGTTTTTCATTCTTTAGGTGATCTGTAATGTTTACAGCATGTTTGTTACTATTTGCATACTAGCTATGAACTCAACCTTTTATTATGCTGACCCCATAATAATTATGGTTTTGGAAGAGACTTAGAATTAAACATATTTGAGCACAAACCAGGGGAAAAAAATAAATGCTGTATTAAAGTTTACTGAGTTTGGAAAAAAAAACAAATCCTACCTTCTTATCTCGCTGTTTTACCTTCAAGCTTTTTTGTTCCAACGAATAACCCAATTGTTTTGCTGTTTTAGTTAGCTTTTCATCTATGTCTTTTAAGAAGCCGCCTCTCTTTTTATTAGTCAGTTCTTTAAGCTTTTTAATCAAAAATAATCTGAAAAAAAAAGCGCACAAAATCATACAATTCATTGGTCTTGAAGACTCAAACATGCCTTTTACTAGCTAATAGAAGCACACTTCAAAACAGCCCAATTAGTAGAAATCCCAAAGGTTGCTACTATGTGTACCAGAATAGACTTCTAATAATCAGAAGTACTATGAAAAAGTTATAAAGAAATAGAAACATTTTTGAAGTGATTCCATGAAAGGAATTTTACCAATGACTAAATAGCTGTTTCTAAACAAATAGGCACCAGATAAAATCTTCATCCTTTCATATCCATATGTAAAACAACCCTGTAACTAGGCTTTCAAAAATTTTCTGTGAAACATTCGCTCTTAAGTGTCTATGGAGATTCTCAGTCATCCAGGTCATGGTTGTTCCAAAGGTGCTTTTTTCAAGAATCAACTGGACTTTCTGCTTTTTCTTTGAAGACGTTTCTCTTCTTGGATGAGAAGTTTCTCTTCTTGGATGAGAAGTGAAACGTCTTCAAAGAAAAACCAGAAAGTCCAGCTGACTCTTGAAAAAAGCAACTTTGGGACATTCACTCTTAAGAATCACATTTTACATTAAGCTGAGACAAGCAAAAGCCAAAAACAATAATAAAAAAGCTCTGATACATATTTTTCAATAAGCTGCTAAAAATGTAGCTGAATATATGTTGGAGGAAACAGATGGAAAACATACAAAAATAATTTTCACGTCACTATATTCAGAAAGATTAAATATGGAAAGTTATATATACATCTTCCAATATTACAAACCTGAATATAAACTATGTGAGTTTCTTACAATGCTTTAATGAACAATGCAATGTATAGAAATGCAACAGAAAAGCAGAATTCAGCCATACCTTGTAGAAAATATTTTGCAAATTAAAAATATTACATGGTTGTCCAAAAAATTCCCAAATTAGTATATAGCAGCAAATTACTGAACTATTTGAATAAGAAATTTTGAGCAGCAAACTAAGCAATATTCTACCATTAAATTCTGAGCCAAGTACAAATTCCTGTCATAAATAAAAAATTGCAGCACCTTTTTCTGGACCATGAGACTAGATTCTGACTTTCATAAACAGGGACTATATTGCAACTTTTTTTTTTTTTACAAGCAAGAGGATTCTATTAACAGTAATGTATATTCAAACAGTTTTAAAAGAGGAAAAGAGGAATGAGCTTCATCCCAATATTTCATTTTCAAAATCATTTTCTCAAAAATAAGAACATCTAAAATATACTGAAGTGGTAAGGGGTGTATTTTCCTAATTGAAATGGTGTAGAGCATTAACTATATGTGAGTAAAAAAAAAAACTCCCTTGCAAACTGAGACTACTATTTCCAAATTAATCTCTTTTTACA